TCTACCGTCTGAGGTGTTGAACCTAGCCTTTGATACGCTACATGATCTGAGGTCTTCCCAATAATAATAATACATATATTAATAATCTTTATTCGAAATCTTCATCAGAAGATAAGAGGGGGGGGGGGTGACTAAATGGTTAGCGTGTGCGCGCTGTATCATAAAGTCTGTTATTGAGTCAACTGGCGTGGTTTCGATTCCCCGGTTGTACGTGACAGGGAGTAGGATCGCCTGTCCTCCGGTTTCCTCCAACTGCTAAAGGCCACTACGCGCAAGCGAATTATTGAACTAAGAATCAAAGCCCGAAATGACATAGTTTGTGTCGAGTGGACGTTAAACCCCATTTCTCTCTCTCTCTCTCTCTCTCTCTCTCTCTTCTATCTCTCTCTCTCATCAGTAGGTACACGAATATATATAATATATAATAACATAGAAACAGTCGAACATGACAATTAATCTTTTAAAACATTTACCCACAGCTATTTATATATAATTTATCGTGAATGAAAGCTTATTTACTAAAGTAATTTAATAGAACTGATATAAATTAACATAATTTGATTACGTTTGTACCTTGAACTTAAATTAAGCTGTTATTTACAGGTTGAGGGAGATCTGTCATACAAACCGAGTTAAAAATATATAAAGCACTTTTTTTAAGGGACCTAAATCGCTAATATTTGGCACCTAGAAATTGACATCATAGTTTGATGACATCATCACTGTGTATTGTTTTCTCTTTTACCTGTATATTTAGTTATTAATATACATTAGCTCAGTTATAAATACATTTCATGGTTCAATTTAAGTTCAAACGAAAGTGGAAATCTCCTTGTAGTTATCTCCCTTCCATAGGGTCGACTCCAATAAAAGATCAATGCAAGATCGGTGGAAGCGGACGTAAAATACAACTAACTAACAACAACAACAACATTATGGTCTTCAAACTCGTTTGAGAGAGAGGGAGAGAGAGAGATAAGTCGTTTCCTAGCAGTGGAAGGAAACTGGGGGACCCGGAGAAACTCCACGAGGTTGGACAACCGACCCTTCTCCTTGGCATGTACTTGTTTTATAAGATAGGATGGTAAATAATATTCAGGGGAAAAAAACACAAAATGGTGGGATAGCAGAATTGTGAATTTTTGCGGTTGAGTGATACCATAAAACTTATCTTATTATTCGTTCAGATGGCAGTGGGTGGGTGGGTGGTTGGCGAGTTCATAGACATGAAATAGGGTTTAACGTCCTACTTTACTCTACCGACCGGGATAATGAAGACGGGCATAAAAGAAAATGGGGTTTTAGCGTCCTACTTGTGCGAATGAAGACGGATTTACACCATACAGTATGCTTTGAGGGTAATTTTGCGCTAAGACCTACTCTTATTTCCAATTTTTAAGTTATATTTTTAAAATTTATTAAAATAAAGCCCTAAAATAGATGGTATCCATAAACCGTCATACCTTGTTAAAGAATAATCCTATTAATCCTATAATTCACTATTGCCAGTTGAGAAATTGGCAAAAATATCATTTTCAACTTTAAATTCAAACGTTTGAAGATAGCTCTTCCATGGTGGGGAATAGGAAAACAAGGGAGGTAATTGGGAGGTAATTGTGTTATTATTTCCGGTGTGAAGATTTTTAAGTGTGAGAAAGATAACCTATGATCATATAATAGTGAGTTGACAACCTATTGAGCAAAAGACATAGAAATAATTATGTTTTGACTTTCTTAGAAAATATGAAATTGTAACTTTAAGTGATTCTTTTAAGTGAAAGTCAACGGGTTCACGGGAGCTCGGTTTTTCGTTCCATCTGAATATCTAGACACTACCGAAACAGGTCAAAAAGAACATATGAATTGAGATAGGAACTAGAATTTGGGCTTCAATTCGTCAACTCTGTACTTATATTTTGTTTTGTGATCGGAACGTATCCGCCTATTGTCTGACCTTCAAACGATAAACAGTTTGCATCTTTGAAAGCCTTTTAACTTTCAATTCAGCCCAGTTGGAGCAGAACAGTAGGACGTTAAACATCATTTCATTTAACTTTTAAGTACAGACATGTGGATTTAACAAAGCCACGTGCACTAAAAGCTCCATAATGTCCGTCTGATTGAACAAGTTTTGACACATTAAATCGTAGAGAAATAAGTCACCTTTTTTCATTGGCATTCGACACGTGAGTCTATTATGTATACCAAGTTAATCAACTGTATGTAATCACTAATGATAGCTTATTTTTGTTACTACTCTTTTGTTCAAAGTTTCACCGATTAATTGACACACGATCTAAGCTCCGTGGCATTTAGTAACCAGCTATTTTATATAAAAATGGTGTTCAAGCTACCGTACAACGATCTGTTTATAAATACTGTAATAAAAGTACCGTCAATTGTTGCTTTTTTTTTTGTTTGTTACTATCAAGTGGTACTTTCCACGCTAAATTACATCTGTTGAAAGCGGTCACGTGTGTGTCACATGACCAACCACGAGGTGCTCTTTGCAGACGTCGGGCTTTTTTCTTCTAATAAATGATATTTTCTCGGTCAGTTCGAGAAAACATCAAATGTTTTTTCATTAGTAAATAATAGATATTGAAATACACGTGTCGGTTGTTATTGTCTGCACGTGATAATATCGACTGACATTACAAAAAATACAAGCTGAGGGACGGCGATGACAAAACTCAAAAACAGTCCGACCAATCGCCAGAACAGAGATATTTGTTGCGCCATTATTTAAAGGGGCAATTACACTTTTGCTAGCTTGACAGCTCCAGAAAATAAAAAAACAGCCTTATTCTAAGTACTAGATGTGTTAGTGTCCTACCTGTTGTGTAAATTATCCATTAAATCCTATTTTACTTGTCCAGAGGGTTCAAAAATATTTTTAAATGCAAGTCACATTTGAAAAGCTTTACGTCAGGCTTTTCAAATCATTTAGTTGAATTTTTCCAATTTTTTAAATTAGGTGTGTTAAGATGAAATTTGTATCACCAATTAATTGGAATATTGTAAAATAGTACAATTTGTTGACCAGAATAAAGATTGGGACATATTATTTAGTTACAACTAGAGTGGTATTGAGCCTTTAAGGCGTTCAGTCATATACTTATAAGCGGGTTTTATCTAAAATATATAACTACACAAACAGGGCCCTGTTTCATGAAATTTTAACTAAAGATAAAATCCAAATTTTAGTAGATCCGTCAATTTTGATTGGCTAAACACTAAAATCAATCTAATATTATCCAATCAAATTACTAAAATTTGGATTTTATCTTAGTTAAAATTTCGTGAAACAGGTCCCAGGTTAATAGCATTTTCTGAAATCTAAAGCCTAGTTCACAACCCGCCGTACGTCTTTTAACACGCATGGGCAGTAGGGTTTGGTAGCTCGCAAATTTTGTATGTGCAGGACCAAAAGTCTCTACGGCCAGTCTGCGATCGTCTACGGTGTCGAATACACGGAAGTGAAGCGTAAGTCTAACGTTTGGGTTTACTAAAATTTCCTGCGTAGACTGCCCGTAGTAGCACACACGGGTTGTGGGCTAGTCTTTATACGAAGAAGCTTACCCGAAAGTGCAAAAAATAATAGTTTGCTAAGTATAGGCCTGGCGTTAAGTTATCGAAAGGGTAAGCCTACTCGTTGTCATGCACGACAATCGTCAGTACCTATAGGTCATGTTGTGTAATTAACTTTCACACTGATCAACAGTGAATATTCGCTAGGCCGCTACAATCACTCATAAGGATGACATCGATGTGACTTAATGAGCAACAAATATTAACTTTTTTCCACCGACAAATTAAAATCTAAAACATTTTTTTATGTAGTAGAAATTATTTCCTATTTAGTGTAAATGGCTATTACAATGAGTAAAATGGGCCAATGATTGACGCCGCGTGATGTGACGTAGTCATCTTTCTCTGTGAAATAGATTGATTAACTTTGTGAAGTGAACCAATTTATGTCAATATATTTTTAAGAGGATAGCAGGAAGGTACAAGAACGGTGGTGAGGTTGTGAAATGAAATGAAATGGGCTAATGCACCATGTGGGCTTATGAATACGGGCATACACCACATTGTGGTATGAGGAAAATTTTGCCCGTGACCAGCAGCGCTACAGCCTACCCATATTTCGATTTCAAACTGGCGGATTATTTTCGTCCCATCCAAATGATTATACGCTTATCCTTGCAGGCCCACCATCCTGCTGCAGACGGTGAACTAGTTTCGTCCCATCCAAATGACTATACGCTTATCCTTGCAGGTCCACCATCCTGCTGCAGACGGTGAACTAAAGGCTGGAAAATTACAAAGACTTTTCTCATCCAATGCTTGGATGAAACCGTGGACAAGTCTCGTGCTTACGCAACCAGCGTGACTCTGGTAAGGTTGGGAATATAGGGTAAAGACTGCCACAAATTTTACAAAAGTCATCGTTTACCACCTGCACTGTTTCGTGACAGACTCTTTCTATTCTCCCTTCCCCAAACTAAAATCACTGAAACATTCGTCCCTGTCTCAGTGCTGCAGGGTGGCCAGATTCTTCCTACAATACCTATAAGTACATGTACCAGGTTTGGGTTGCATTTGAGCTTTCGACATAACCATGTAGCACTTAGTTAACTGGTGGTTGTTCAAGATCCGCGAGAGAGAGAGAGAGAGAGAGTTGGGGTGGGGTGTGTCAACGTCCACTCAACACATACTCTGCCATCTCGTGAACAACAAATGGTTCAGTTTTATTTCAATAATTCGGTTGCGCGTTGGAGGAAGCCGGGGAACTCAGAAAAACCCATGAGGTTAGGCAGGCGACCCTACTCCTTGTCACGTACAAATGTAGGATCAAAATTCCGCCACTTCACTCCATGACCGACCCAATGATCTAACGCGTTAGACCATTACCTCCCCCCCCCCCCCCCAACACACACACACACACATACACACTCCCCACCCCTCCCCCTTTAAGTAACAAATGAAGACATGTAAATTTTTGAATATATTTTATATAAACAATGTAAACAACATTTTAATAATATTACAAAATACGAAACAAATAGAAACAAATGGAACAATTTTGGTATATTGCAACACAGGAATGTCATTTTTCAAGAGCATATTTCAATTTTAAACTTTTGAACATTTGACGGAATGTCTTTCTTTTCTTGAGAATGTTTCAAATTAATGGTCTTGTCCAGGGTCTTTTTTATTCACTGGAATCTTGAAATGTCATACTATAGAATATTCACTAAATACATTCTGAAAAAGACAAAAGCAAAGGTATTAGTATATACATAGTTTAATACTTGAAATGTAAGTTATATACAATAAGAGAGCCGTTTTCTATTTAAGACCGTCTTCATTAGCCCAGTCGGCGATATCACTTCGGTGGAAGCGGACGTTAAATATACCTGTTTCACACACAGCCCAGTCGGTGCAGAAAAGGGTGACATTAAACCTCATTCCATTTCTATTTTAAGATATAGATGATAATCAATCAAAAACATACAGTTTCTTTTAAATATAACATAATAGAACCATATCAAAACTTGAGAAATGCCTACCTGTTTTAGAATAGATAACTCGGTGCTTGTTCCTTTCCAATTATTGTCCATTTTATAACTATATACCAATAAATAGCACCGTAATCAATATCACAGACAGGCTTCTTTATAAATAAATCTGTAATAAATAACAAATAATCATGAGTGATCATACATATCGTCAGCATTCAGAGCTAGCTCTATTGTTTTCCGGCATGGTTCCCCCTTGACAGCTGTCTAGTTGTTCGGATGGGACGAAAAACCGAGGTCCCGTGTACACATGTGGCGTGCACGTAAAAGATCCATTGACAGTTGGAATTCGATATAAGAGTAGGCCATAGTGCCGCTGTCCAGGGAAGATTTCCCTCATATCACACTGCATGGTGTATGCCCGTCTTCATTAGCCCAGTTCGGAGCAGAAAAGTAGGACGTTAAACCCCATTTCCTTTCATTTCTATTGTATGTAGATTGGCCAGATAATATCCAATCCATAAAATGTATAATAAACCAGTGATTGTTGTCCCATATAACTGTGTCAGTTTTGGTATTTACCTTAATTGTAAGGCCATCGGAACCGAGAAAGAAGGGTGTGTTCATTATTTGTCCATTAGCTTCAAATTACCCCTCTTTTGGCTCCCGGCGCTGACAGACTCCCACCGCCCCTCCACATTATAAGTGCTGGGACTTATGTTTTTATTAACATGTGGTAAATAATGTTCATATTATTTCTTGATATTTTTACTTCAATACACACCTTTTCATGTTTAACAATCTTTGGGTCTTCTCAAGCTTAAATAACTCGCTCTTTTTTGTTGTTTTTCGTAATTTTTCCTGGGTTGAGTGGGTTGATTAAAGGCTAAGGGCATCATCTGACATACAAAAGACCTCATGGCATCTTCAGTTATTCCAGAATTGTCACCTGAAATTACATAAACAATAAATTAAGCTGATGTTTTTATGGACTTACACAAAAGTTAAAACGGTTGTTTAGAAAAAAAAACTGTATACAATTACCAATTACATTGTATTCAAACCACAAAAGACATGACACATACGAGTTTTCTAACAATTGTTCACAAATACGTTCTTTTATTTGTATACAAAGAAACAAGTTGCTACGTGCGAGTTTTTTTAAGTTAAGATATCATCTACCCGATCCATGACCCTATATTAAGGGTACCCTCTCATTTGCAGCTGTCGTTAAGCCACTTGTATTGTATATATAAAATATAGGTTATAGGTAATACTAGTATTTCAACAGGTAAACTGAGCTCATGTCAAAACACCGTAACATATAAGTAATGTGGGAATATTAACAGGTGCGCGCTCTCTGATTAGCTGCCTTTATGTCAAACATTCGGGGCCTTTCATCACTAAGGGTCACAGTTATGGTATGACAAGTGTGTAGTGTTTTTATCTCTATAAATATTTGAAATATTATCACGCATCGTATACAGTATCATGTTTCATAACATATTTGAAAGCAAATTCCTTTGTATAACCTTTGTAGCTGTGGGCGAGAGAGATAAATGGCATTTAGCGTCCACTCTATACAAACTAAGTCTTTTCTGGACTTATATATGACCTGATGAAAACCCACGATGTTGGCGACCATAGTCCTTGTCACGTACAAGTCGAGAATCGACATCACGCCACTTGACTCAACGCGTTAACCCCACGCCAGCATCTGTGGGCGAGTTATTATGGATAACGTGCTTAGTATTTAAAAATAACCAAGTCGGTCGTTACAGGGGATACTTTGAAAAGAATGCATTCAATTTCAAAAGAATGCAATCAGTCCGACAACGGAGCAATTGTTTGGGAGTTCAACAGATTTATCAGTCGAGTAAAATTATAAAATTGAGTAAAAGATGTCAAAGGTTAAGCCTGCTTACAGTTACATCTGTTTGACAAAACTCTAAAACAATTATTGAGTTCCACAATTATTGGGTTCAACAATTACTGCTCACTTTATAATCTTAGTTCTCGAGTTGACATGTCTGCTTCAATAAACGCAGTGTCTTTTAATTCTGACGTTTGAATGCAAATTGGTCCAGCTCTTCAAATGGTGATTGGGTGATCATGATGTCATTATTGTATCATGACGTCATGATTGTGACACAAATAGCCTACATTAATTCCGCTTTCCAACCAAGACATAATTAGGTAGGATAAACAGTGTAACATATGGTTATTGAATTGAACCAAAGATTGGATTGATAAACTGATTCAATTAAATCTCATGTTACCCAGGGCAACATCGGTAGTTAATGACTTGGCTTAAACTTACCAGTTTTCTTCTTAAATCTATCTAAGAGAGCTTGATGGAGTTCTTCAATATATCGAACAGCTTCTTCAACTACTTCCACTTTCGTCACTTTCTTTTTACTGGCCACTGAAGGAACCAGAGCTCGGAGTTTTGAGTATTCTCTTTCCCGGATTCTTCTGAGATGAAGCTTGAGATGCTTCTTGGCGATGATCTGAGATGCAGATTGGTTAAGACGTGCTGTCACTGCTCGTACCATCTGAAAGTAGTCGAATAAAATAAATAAATACAACTATACACGTTAAAAGTATACCTTGTCCAATATACAGAGACACGTGAAAGAAATTAGTTCCATCAGGTCCAAACTAATTTCAGGGACGTACATAATACCAATAGTCTCAGTGACGTACATGTACATAATATTAATAGGCTTAGTTTCATCAGCAGAGTCGTCATTAAAATTCAATCATACCTTTTACAGTGTATTCGATAATTGAACAGGGTCATTAATTTCTATTAAAAACAGTGGGGTTACCAAGAAGATTAAAGGGCTAGAGGAACCCCTAATCCTTCACACAAGGGAAATGACAAACAGCTGCAAGTTATTGCTACTCTTCCAAATAAAATAAAATTAATGGATTCTTTAACATCAATTATTAGAGATGTTATCTTGAGTTTTACTTAACGCACTGCTTATAAAAAGCCTTTTAAGAAGAGGTCATGCTGTAAGTTTGTTTAAGGGTTTTTACGGTTGACCACGGAACAACAATCCCTAAAGATTATAGAACAATGGCCAATCGTTTACCATTGCTAACATAATTATACAATCTTTCTTTTTTTTGTAATGACTTGTTTTGTTGTGGTTGTGGTACCTTTAATTTGATTAGACAAATACAATACATCAAAAGAACCGAACCTTGTTTGAGAGGTCCAAAGATTTGTTTAGGTACAAAGTTAACATAATTTATCACCTGTCGAAACCCCTAAGAAAGATTTCCAAAAAGATATTTCAGTATTGTCATTTTTGTTACAGATCTCATATTTACACATGAATATTCGGTTGTTGTATCCGACAAGATCAAACTGAAGAACAAACCATAACACATACTTATTTGGCCGACGTTTCGAATAGTGTTCTCTCAACGTTTTCAAGTAAGTAATTGAGAACACTTTTGAAACGTCGCCCTAATTGTTCTTCCATAAGTATGTGTTATAGTGTAGGCTCTATCCAGTTACTATATACCTCTAAAGTATTATTTAAACTGAAGCTTACAGACCTCAATAATTTTTAATTTATGAATTTTTTTTAAAAAAAAAATCATTAATTAAAATTCTATTCCTATGTTCAAACTGGTATTTTTAAAATAGCGAATCCGTGTTATACACATCTATAAGATCGGAAGAAATCTGACAGTTTGACTTTCAATGGATCTGGTTTTATCACCTGTCCCTGTAGCAAAGTGAGGTGACCAGTAAGATACAATCTCTTTCTTTCTCTATTAATTCAACTTTGATATTAAATCATGAATATTTCAGTAGATGTCGTTAGTGAACAGTCGCTATAGTTAAACCCGAAACAGTTTGTTTTTTTCACAGCTAACAATACCGAGAAGATACCAGATGTCCTCAACGACTTCAGGCGGACTTGGGTTCCAAATTACTAGTCTCATGCCTCAAGTATTGATCCAAAACTAATAATAAAGCTCTGAATTCCAGTAAAAATACTGAAAGCTGTATTATTAATAACCACTCCATAATTAACGCGTTGTTCATATAGCCAATATCTATAGTTACTGCCAGTGTCATGATTTAAGAAATTAACTAATATTAAAAATAATTTGGAGGTCAGAAGATTTCAATAAGATTTGAAAAGTCTTCAATATGTTACATATTCTGCAAACTATGCATATTAATACTCCACTATGCATAGCCTACATATGTGTCCGTCTAAAGACTCGTGACTGTCATACTTACAGTGATATGTGTTGTGACAATACTCCGATAGAAAACTCTCGACAAATAATATCCTAAGTGATGATACACAATTGAACTTCACAGCTAAGACAAGTTCAGCAATGACAAATTTCACTGAATCGTCGCTATTTATCCTGTTAACCACATCACTGCCCTTGATAGTAACGCTACTCGAATGAAAGTAGTTCTGGTATTCTAATTTGCATAATCAATGAAGCGTGAGCGTAACTATGTCCGAGAGGCTGGATTATTTGTAAACAAAGCCCTCGCGCTATTATACCGATAGACCCTTCGCATCGATTACATAATGAATTGCGTGGCGTAGTAATCCCATGTGTAGCAAACCCAGTGAATCGTCTTGAAAATGGATTTGTATGAGCGTGGGAAACTTACGGGGTGCAAGTCGGGCGAAACGGAGTAATAATCGACAGGCATTGTATCCAAGGAACGGCTGGTCATTTACTCATATATTAAACAACTGTCGTCTTTTACGTGCACTTGTGATTATCCCAGCGTTTGCATTTCTTAAATACTATGATTTATTTCTTTGCCGTTTGATAAACCAAAGATGCCTTTCTGTCCAACATAAAAAAAATGAATGGTTTTCAGAAAAATGAACAGATTGTTTTATTTGTGCACGATTTATAATGTGCCGTTTTCTTTAAGTTTATATTTATTTACCCAAGAGGGGCCATTGTTAATAATTGTTCATCATTGTTATTACTTGTTCATCATTGTTGTAAATTGTTCATCTTGGTGTAGGATAACCCATTCTTATTTACCACGACAAGTTTACGTTAATGACGTCATTCAATAGAAATTTAAAACACGTGTTATTATTCAAATTACGTTCTTTTAAAAATTTACATCACATGATAACAACTATACATGACAATAGCAG